CGTCCCTATTTTTGTTTACTATATTTTGATTTCTTCGTATTTTTTTAAATAGCATTTCTGAATTTGAGCACATCTGTAATATTTGTTGTCATCTAAACGTGTTAATATTTATGTTAATTCTTTACTCTTCGTTTGTATAATATGTATCTACAATTTAACTGTCTGTTATTTACTGGTTACGTTTTGCAGTGGTGTTCATGCTATGTGACGCCTGTCGTTGATTAATCATTAATTTTATTAGATTCTGTTTGCAGGGATTTGTATCCGACATTAAGGAAAACGTAGGTAACTTCCTGTATATATATTGTATGTAATTATGTTGCCATAATTTTTTACTCTTTCTTTGTCTTTGTTTTTCAACTAATATTATATATCATGTTCTATTCTCTCTGCTTTCTCACTGTTTAGAGAGCTTAATGATACTAGCCATTTCTTACTAACCTTACCGCCTCCTTTATATTCCTTTGCTCTATTTCTGCTGCTCAGTAATTTTAGTTTCTTTCTTTGATCTATCCTTTTGCCCATGGTTCGTTGAATCATGTACTCACTTTTTAATTTACTTTGGTTGAAATGTTTTAGAATATTGATTTATAATGTTACGTTTAGTTGTTATATGACATATTTTATTCCGCGCTTTACTTTTTTTCTTCTCCACTGTACTCTCAGTCATTTACTGCTATTCTAATTTGATTAACTGAGATTTGATATTTACACAGTGTTTCTAAGTCTTATTAAAATATAATGTCTTTCTTTATAAAAAATTTGGTTATTTATATCCAAACATTTTGTTCTATTCTGATTATGATGATGTTATATTTCATTTATTGTTAATATGTGCCGGGTAATTATTATTAGAGATATGGCTATCATTGATGTTGCCCTTATTATTTTGGACTTATGCCAATATATTTTAATTTGTCTTTCGTTTTAGTTTTATTGTAACTTTGTATTTATAAAAACTGGTTATGTCTATGACTCTATTTAGCATGTTCCCGTCTGTTTCTTCTGCACTTCACTCTTTTTCTTCTCCATTGTACTCTTGGCCGTTTACTGCTTTTCTTATTTTATTAACTGACCTTTGATATCTACAAAGTGTTATAAATCTTATTACAAGATAATGCCTTCCTTTATCAAAAACTTGGTTTCTTATATCAAAATATTTTATTATTTTCCGGTTGTGATGATGTTATGTTTCATTTGTTGTTAACATGTGCCGAGTAATTGTTATTACAGATGTGGCTATCACTGATGTTGCCCTTATTATTTTGGACCTATGCCAATATATTTTAATTTGTGTTTCGTTTTAGTTCTACTGTAACTTTATATGTTATGCTTTTAACTTATTTCTTTATGATTTTTTAAGTGAAGAGTGAAATCTTTCTTTTTCTTTAGTATATGTATAATACTGTATATTATTACTCTAAACTATACTAATTTTTCTTACTTATGGCATAAAATCCTTAATAATATAGTTGGTAGCTATGTATATTGCCACACTTCGTTTCAATTACTTATGGTATGTATTCTTCACAGCAAATGAATATAACCTGAACCAAATATTTATATACAACATTATTTATTTTAGATGTTTCTTTATTTTAAAATTTCCTGCAAATACTTTATAATGTAATAAAAAACATATATTTTCCCTCTAGACAAGTTTAACATTATATTCCTATGTTAATTTTTCTTACTTATGGCATAAATTCCTTAATAATATAGATGGCAGCCGTGTATATTGCTAGATTTGTTTGTAATTACTCATGGTATATGTTTTTTTACAATAAATGATTATAACTTGAACCAAATATTTATATCTAATCTTATGTTTTTCCAAATGTTTCTTCACCTATTTATGATATCTACTCAATGTACAGTATAATATAAAGCATATATTCTTTCTATACGCAGCCTTAATTTATGTATATGATATGTTAATGCAGCTAAGTATATTGCATAAACTATTTGACTCTTATTCTTTTTTATATAGTTCTATCATTTTTTCCCCCGGTTTCCCCCCCCCCTCCCCCCCCCCCTC